GATGACGGGAATGTGGGAACCATGGGAATGACAGGAATGTGGGACCCACGGGAATGTGGGAACCACGGGAATGTGGGAACCACAGGAACAATGACGGGAATGTGGGACCCACGGGAATAGTGACAGACCGGAATAATGGCCGGAATTCCTGAACGGAACGGGGAATGCCTGCAGGGATGGGGGATGGGCGGGGATTGCTGGCTGGGATGGGAATTCCTGGGATGGGAATGGATGGGAATTCCTGGGATGGGGAATGGATGGGAATTCCCGGGATGGGGAATGGATGGGAATTCCTGGCCGGGATGGGAATTCCTGGGATGGGAATGGATGGGAATTCCTGGGATGGGGATTATCCAGGTGGGATCACACTGGGAATTGTGGGGAGTACCCATTGGGATCAGACTGGGAATCCCAGGGAACATCCCGGTGGGATCACAGCAGGAATCCGGGGAATATCCAGGTGGGATCCAGGTGGGAATCTCAGGGAATATCCAGGTGGGATCCAGGTGGGAATCTCAGGGAATATCCAGGTGGGATCACACTGGGAATCTCAGGGAATATCCAGGTGGGATCACACTGGGAATTTCGGGAACATCCAGGTGGGATCAGACTGGGAATTGTGGGGAACATCCAATTGGGAATCACAGGGAATGAATATCCAGGTGGGATCACACTGGGAATTGTGGGGAACATCCAGTTGGGAATCACAGGGAATGAATATCCAGGTGGGATCACAGCGGGAATTGTGGGGAATATCCATTGGGATCAGACTGGGAATTTTGGGAATATCCAGGTGGGAATCTCAGGGAATATCCAGGTGGGATCACAGCGGGAATTGTGGGGAGTACCCATTGGGATCAGACTGGGAATTTTGGGAACATCCAGGTGGGATCAGACCGGGAATTTTGGGAATATCCAGGTGGGAATCTCAGGGAATATCCAGGTGGGATCAGACTGGGAATTTTGGGAATATCTGGGCTGGGCTCCAGGTGGGAATTTTGGGAATATCCAGGTGGGATCAGACTGGGAATTTTGGGAACATCCGGGCTCCGGGGTTGATCCCGGGATTTGTGTCGGTGTGCAGCTGCTGGACGAGCCCCAGTTCCGCTGCATCACCAAGATCAAGACCATCGGCAGCACCTACATGGCCGCCTCGGGAGTGACGCCCGACGCCGGCGCCAACGGATTCGGAGCCAAGGTCAGCCCGGGATCCGCCCCCGGAACACCCCCGGGAACGGGGGAGGGGCCCCGTGAGCCGCGGCACCGTCCCTGGGGGCACATCTGGGGGGGTGTGTCGCGTCTGGGTGTGTCACATCTGTGTGGCACATCTTCATCATCTCCATCCTCTCCATCATCTCCATCTCCGTCTCCATCATCTCCATCTCCCATCTCCATCTCCCATTTCCATCTCCATCTCCATCTCCATCTCCATCATCTCCATCTCCATCATCTCCATCATCTCCATCTCCATCATCTCCATCTCCATCTCCATCTCCATCATCTCCATCTCCGTCTCCATCATCTCCATCTCCCATCTCAATCTCCATCTCCATCTCCATCTCCCATCTCCATCTCCATCATCTCCATCTCCATCTCTATCTCCATCATCTCCATCATCTCCATCTCCATCTCCATCTCCGTCTCCATCATCTCCATCTCCATCTCCATCTCCATCTCCATCATCTCCATCTCCATCATCTCCATCATCTCCATCTCCATCATCTCCATCATCTCCATCATCTCCATCTCCATCTCCATCTCCATCTCCATCTCCATCTCCCTCATCTCCCTCATCTCCCCCCCTCCCCCGCCGTGTCCGTTGGATCCGTTCCGGCCGCGATTCCCGGGATTTTGGCCGCAGCCGGACCCTCGCTCGGACAAGGAGCGCTGGCAGCACTTGGCCGACCTGGCCGACTTCGCGCTGGCCATGAAGGTGACGCTGATGAACATCAACTACCAGTCCTTCAACAACTTCATGCTGCGCATAGGCAAGTCCGGGAACAACCCCGGGAATAATCCTGGGAATTCCGGGAATTCCGGGGATGATCCCGGGAATTCCCCTGGCAGGGATGAACAAGGGGGCGGTGCTGGCCGGAGTCATCGGCGCCCGGAAGCCGCACTACGACATCTGGGGCAACACCGTCAACGTGGCCAGCAGGATGGAATCCACCGGAGTCATGGGCAACATCCAGGTGGGAACGGCACGGGAATAGCTGGGAATTGTGTCCGGGAATGTCTGGGAATGCCGGGAATCACCGGGAATGTCCGGGGGGGGGTGGGGAATGAATAGCCAGGGATCACCGGGAATGCACCGGAGTCATGGGGAACGTCCAGGTGGGAATGGCACGGGAATAGCTGGGAATTGTGTCTGGGAATTGTGTCCGGGAATCACCGGGAATTTCCTGGGGGATGGGGAACGTCCAGGTGGGAATCACCGGGAATCTCATCAGGAATTTCCTGGGGGATGGGGAACGTCCAGGTGGGAATCACCGGGAATGTCCGGGGGGATGGGGAATGAATAGCCAGGTGGGAATCACCGGGAATCGCCGGGAATGTCCAGGAATCACCGGGAGAATGGGGAATGAGTAGCCAGGAATCACCGGGAATTCACTGGGAATCACTGGGAATGCGTGGGAATGTCTGGCTGGGATGGGGAATGTCCAGCTGGGATCACAGTGGGAATAACCGGGAATGTCCAGGCGGGATCACAGCGGGATTTCACCGGGAATCTCGGGACTCCAGGAAGGGTCTCCCTTCCCTTTACCATCCCTGAATCCCATAAAAATCCCTCGGGATGGATCCTGAGCGTCCTCGATCCCAGAATTCCCAACACCTCCCACCAATCCCGGCGTGATCCGGCCTTTCCTTGGGGATTGATCCCAGGGATTCTCTGGGAATTCCTTCCCGAGCTCCCAGCCCCAGCTCCCCTTTCCCAGTGGGAAGCCATTCCCTGGCTCCTGGCCCTGCGGCCCTTTCCCAAATCCCAGCTCTCCCGGAGCCCCTGGAGCCTCGGGAAGCGGCTCCCAGCATTCCCGGGATCCTTCCCTGATCCGGCTGCACATTCCCGGCTCTCCCAGCCCCGGGATTGGGGATCCAGCCCCATCCCGAGGGAAGGAATTTTGGGAATTCCCTGGGAATTGGGGACTGCAGGAAGGGTCTCCCTATCCCAGAATTCCATAAAAATCCCTTTGGGATGGATCCTGAGCCTCCTGGACCCCGGAATCCCAGAATTCCTTGGGATGGTATCCACGGATTCCCAATCCCACCCCATTCCCAACCCTGATCCCAGCCTGCTCCTGCTTTTCCTTGGACAACCCCAGGAATTCCCCGGGAATTCCAGCCCAGCCGGGAATTCCTTCCCAAGATCCCGGCCCAAGCTCCCCGGTTTACCCAGGGAATTCCCTCCATTCCCAGCCTGGGAATCCAGCCCCATCCTGACTCCTCTCCGGGAAGGAATTTCGGGAATTCCCTGGGAATTGGGGATCCCAGGAAGGGCCTCCCTTCCCAGAATTCCATAAAAAACCCCCTCGGGATGGATCCTGAGCAACCTCAATCCCAGAATCCCGGGATTCCTTGGGACGGGCTCCACAGATTCCCAACCCCACCCCATTCCCACCCTGCTCCAGCTTTTCCTCGGATATTCCCAGGGATTCCCCGGGAATTCCAGCCCCGCCAGGAATCCCCACCGACCCGACCCTCCCGAATTCCCGCACCCGGAATCCATCCCCCCCACCCCCGTCCCTCCCCTCCCTTTTTTCCTTTGACCCCTCTTTTCCCACCCCGGGGAGGGACGAAATTCCCAAATTCCCGTGCGGTGTTTTTTTTTTTTGGTTTTGTTTTGTTTTGTTTGTTTTTTTCCCGGAATTCCCGTCAGGTGGTGGAGGAGACGCAGCAGATCCTGAAGGAATTCGGGTTCCGCTTCGTCCGGCGCGGCGCCGTCTACGTCAAGGGCAAAGGGGAGCTCCTCACCTTCTTCCTCAAGGGCCGGGAAAAACCGGGATCCGTGCCCCTTCCCCACCAGGTGCTGGAGAATTCCTGAGGAATCCTCGGGAATCTCCGCCGGGATGAGGATCCCCCGGATGCCCCTCGGGAAGGGATTTTTTTTTTTTTTGTTTTTTCCCCCCGGGGTTTTTGGAATTCCGGGAGATGCGAGCTCAGGGATGGTGGGGAGGGATGGGAGCGATGCGGGGTCGGGGGGCCGGGGGGGAAAAAGCGGGAATTGCCGGGAGCCGCCCGGGAGTTTTTTGTGTTCCGGATCCATAAATTCTGTCGGAGCAGGTGTGGATTGGTGTTTGTGCCCCGCGGGAATCGGGGATCGGGGGTGGGGATTGGGATCGGGGATCAGGAATTGGGAATCAGGAATCGGGGATCGGGATTGGGAATCGGGGATCGGGAATCGGGGATGTGGGAATTGGGATCGGGGTCAGGAATCGGGGATCAGGAATTGGGAATCGGGATTGGGAATCGGGGATCGGGAACCGGGGATCAGGAATCGGGGATCAGGAACCGGGAATCGGGGTCAGGAATCGGGGATCAGGAATTGGGAATCGGGATTGGGAATCGGGAATCGGGATTGGGAATCGGGGTCAGGAATCGGGGATCAGGAACCGGGAATCGGGGTCAGGAATCGGGGATCAGGAATTGGGAATCGGGATTGGGAATCGGGAATTGGGGTCAGGGATTGGGGATTGAGATCAGGAATTGGGAATCGGGATTGGGAATTGGGAATCGGGAATTGGGAATCGGGAATTGGGAATCGGGGATCAGGAACTGGGGATCGGGGGCAGGAATCGGGGATCAGGAATCGGGAATCGGGATTGGGAATCGGGAATCGGGGGCGGGAATCAGGATCAGGAATCGGGGATCGGGGGCAGGAATTGAAAATCAGGAATCGGGGATCAGGAATCGGGGATCGGGAATCGGGGATCGGGAACCGGGAATCAGGGTCAGGAATCGGGGATCAGGAATCGGGATTGGGAATCGGGAATTGGGGGCGGGAATCAGGATCAGGAGTTGGGATCGGGAATCGGGGGCAGGAATCGGGATCAGGAATCGGGGATCGGGATCAGGGATTGGGGATTGAGATCAGGAATTGGGATTGGGAATCGGGGGCAGGAATCTGGATCAGGAATCGGGGGCGGGATTGGGATCGGGAATTGGGGGCGGGATTGGGAATCAGGGGCGGGATCAGGAATCGGGGGCAGGATCGGGGTTGGGATTGGAGGTGGGATTGGGGTCAGGATCAGGATGGGGATCAGGATTAGGATTGAGATTGGGATTGGGAATCGGGAATCGGGAATCAGGATCGGGATTGGGATTAGAGTTGGGATTGGGATTGGGATTGAGTCAGGATCGGGATCGGGATTGGGGTCGGGATTGGGATCAAGGCCAGGATCGGGATTGGGATTGGGATCAGGATCCGGATCGGGAATGGGATCAGAGATCGGGAATTGGGATTGGAGTCGGGATTCAGATCAAGAATGGGACTGGGATCGCTGCTGGGATTGGGACCAGGATCAGGATTGGGGATCAGGATCAGGACTGGGGTCGGGATCAGGAACGGGATCAGGATTGGGTTGGGATTGGGATCAGGATCAGAGATGGGGATCAGGATCGGGATTGGGATCAGAATCAGGAATGGGATCGGGATTGGGTCGGGATTGGGGTCATGATTGGAGATCGGGATCAGGATTGGGGTCAGGATCGGGATCAGGATCAGAGATCAGGATTGGGGTTGGGATTGGGGTCGGGATGGGGATCAGGATCAGAGATCAGGATCAGAGATCAGGATCAGGATTGGGATCAGAGATCAGGATCGGGATCAGGATTGGGATCGGGATCAGGATTGGGGTTGGGATCGGGGTCAGAGATCAGGATTGGGATTGGGGTCGGGATCAGGATTGGGATCGGGATTGGGATCAGGATCAGGATTGGGGTCAGGATCGGGATCAGAGATCAGGATTGGGATCGGGATCAGGATTGGGGTTGGGATCGGGATTGGCGGCTCCGGGAACGGTGCCCATGGAATTTGGCATTCCCGGAGTTGGGCTCGGCGCCAACGGAAGCAGCGGAATTCCGAAGGCTGATCCCCCATTCCCAGCCGGATTTTCCGCGGGATAACGGGAGGGGCTCCAGCGCTTTCCCAAGGGAATTTTGGATCTGGGGGAATCCTGGAATGGTTGGGACGGGAAGGGAGCTGAAATCCCATTCCACCCTTCCCTGGGATGCTCCCAGGGATCCGGGAATTCCTTCCCAAAATTCCTCCCCTTTTTTCCCAGGGAATCCCCTCCATTCCCAGCCTGGGGTTGGATCCAGCCCCATCCCAAGGGAAGGGATTTTGGGAATTCCCTGGGAATTGGGGACTGCGGGAAGGGTCTCCCTATCCCAGAATTCCATAAAAATCCCTTCGGGATGGATCCTGATGGATCCTGGATCCCGGAATCCCGGAATTCCTTGGGATGGGATCCACGGATTCCCAATCCCGATCCCGGGATGCTCCGGCTTTTCCTTGGACGCTCCCAGGGATTCCCCGGGAATTCCTTCCCAAAATCCCGCCCCAGTTCCCGCCTTTTCCCATGGGAATTCCATTCCCTGTGCCCTGCCCTCTTCTCCCCATGGAAAAATTCCTTCCCAGGATTCCCAAACTGGGAATTCCCTCATCCCAAAACTCCCCCCGCCCATTCCCAACCTTCGGATCCATCCCCAATTCCCGATTTTTTTCCCACCCCCCCCCCCCCC